GTAAATATCTAAGAAAATAACTTTATTTCCTTTAATTTTTAAGCAATCTCTTAACTTTTATGTGTATAGGATTTTCAATTTATCATATGATCAAATTTGACCCGGATAGGCAAAAAAAAAAACTTTTTCACTTATTTTTATACAAATCTTTATTATCGCCTTCAAAATAGGCTTCTTTTGAGCATATACCTACAAGCATGCCAACGCTTAATACAATGTTCCATACACTTGTTATACGAGTAATCCTCGTCTGGGATTGCCTTCAGCGAACGACATTTAATGAAGAAAAGTCACAGAGAGTCAAATCTGGCTGAGCGATGACTCTCGTTTCATGTTTGGCCAAAAACTCACTCACAATCATGCTAGAATGTGATAGCGCATTATCGTGGTGAATAATCCATGAATTTTCTGCCCACAAATGTAATCGCTTACGACAAATCGTTTCACGCAGACTCTTCAAAACAGCCGGCTAGTATTCTTAGTTGACCCTTTGACCCTGTGCAACGAATACATGGCGAACTACGCCACGGCAGTCAGAGAAAACTACGACCATCATCTTTTTTGCAAAAGCTGCAGGACTTTTAGTACGAGTCTTTAGTATGAGATGTAATGTTATTATCATTAATAGAGGGGGATGGGCGACTCGCATGAGGCAAGTTTCGATGACTTTACGGCCTTCACTGAATGCTTTGTGCCACTCAAATACTTTTGTTCGTAATAAAGTAGACTGTTCAAAATACTTCTGCAATGTTTTCGATGATTTCGTAGCCGTGATTCCATTGAAAACACAAAATTTCAAGCAAACTCGTTTAATTTTTTTACCATGGTAAATATCGGCAGACCAACTTTCGTCGTAAACAAACAGGCAAACACACATATGGAGATCAAACTCGACACGAACAAGAAAAAAAAAGTGGTACCAATCTGGGAAAACAATTCTTAACGATTCGGTTTGCTCGCGCATAGACAAATTTGATACTTAGTATTACCAAAAATAAAATTCCAAATTTTTTGCTCAAGAGTGCACAATTTATAATAGCGGTTTCTTTTCTCACAAAAATCTTGCATTTATTCTGGCCAATGACCTGGCTGTCAAAGTTACATACGTGTTCTATTCTCAGACTTTTGCCTTCTAAACTGAAAAATATGAAAAAATTTCTGCCCTTCTTAAAACGTGAGGGTGAGAGTTGCCCAGGCGATGATTATTTTTGGTTTTTGATAGTTATTTTTTCTAAATCAGTTTTTCAACTAATTATTGTATATTGAATCGATCAGTTTTGTTAAGCTCAATATCAGATATTTCAAATTAGTTGGTTGGCATTTATTTTTGTTCTTTTGCCATATAAAAAATGAAAATTTTTTTTAATGTTGCCATATAAGGAGACAACTTTTTCGGAAAAGAAAACGCTATAAATAAAAGTATATTATAATATTTGTTATTGATTGAAGAGTAGTACCTAAGACTAACTACTTGTTTCTAAAATCTAAGTTATGTCTGACAAAAGCTCACATAAAATATTTCTGCACATCTATTACATACATACATATATACGTATATGTATGTACATACAAGTATATGCTCATAGTCGATGTGCAACTACTAATTAACATCACACCATATTTGATCATTCACTTTAACTTTTGCACGTTGTTGTCGCACAAATTTTCTTAGAAAAAAGATCATATTAAAAATGTGAAAAAAGGAAACTTTATTTTGCGGCATTGCTGATGCCGCCACAATAATGAAAAAATCACGAACAACGCATCAAATTGCCGTCACGGCAGACTGTCGTCAGTTCCAACCGACCAAGCGGCACAACAGACCCGCCCAAACTACTTTGATATTAATTTCTCCGGCAATTACACACATACACACATATGCTTACATTAATTATACATATTTAGATGCTCGCTCTATATGCCTTTATATTGTATATATGCAGTTTTGAGGTCTGTCTGCCTAGCCGAAAGCTCAGAGCTTGCAATAAAAGTGGAAAAACAAAAACAAACAGTGCAGTGAAAACAACGCTAGTATTTAACACTATGTGCTTCATATTCGCTGGGTTTGTACAAAAATTTACAACAAAAATGCGCTGACCGCTTGTCCAACTGCTGTCGTCCTCCCACTGCGTCCCTTGTTCTATTCGAATATTGTTTATTTATTCGTCGTTGCAAAATTACTGCGTTTAAGGCGTTGGCTGTCAAACCAACCCACGAGTGAAGGGAGTGAAGCACGAGGCCACAACAAATAAATTAAATATTTACTCATAGCGCGTGCCTGGTAATTTAATTAATAATTTCGCTATGCACTGACGTCTGACTAGGAGCAACTAAACTCACTTTGCATGCGAAATTTTTAAATGGCAGCAAAAAAATAATAGTTACTAAAAATTTGTTTTGATAATTTGAAACTATGCACAGGGAGTCTGAGAGACATTTTGAATAAGTTTTTGGAGTTTTTTTTTATTGTAATATATCAGTTTGATTCATTTCGTTCACGGTATTATTTAAAATCGTCAAAATAATAATTTTCCTCTTTTTTTAGTAACTTGATTTACAATATCAGCAGTAATTTTATATTTTTATACATACAGCAACTTTATTATACGGTATATAAGGATCCATGGATTTCTTAGATAGAACGAAGTGGATCCTAAGGAAAACTAGTTTGTTTTAGTTGTTAGAATTTTTAAAGATGACGAAAAGTAAAACCGATTATTTCAAAGAATATGACGGAATTGGGTAAAAGTAGTATAAGAAAAAAAAACAATCAAAAATGCCTTTTTATTTGGAACTATACTGGTCCTTTTCGGACTAATTTCAGTGCAGAAAATGCGTCTATCGTATACAACATATACACATACATATTCAATAGCATATATCCTTTTCAATGAAATAGTTTTTTTGTCAGTTGCTTGTTTGATTTGATATTCATCTGTTGTGTACTTTAGCGCCAATAATTGTGAAACGTCGCCTTGCTTCTGGTACTGGCGCGGATTGGTAGCACTGCCTGCTATTGCCTCAGCCCACCGCATATACCGCGCTATTTTTCTTCTTTTCCGCCAGCCATTTTCACACACACATATTCACAAGTAGATACAGTTGTTATCAAAATAATTGGTGGACATTGACTTCACGTATAGTGGAGAAAAAATTAATGTAAATTCACAATTGTCATTAATGTCAATTTTTTTCCTTTTATAATTATATGAATCGACTTCATGTTAATCATATTCATAAAAAAAAAATAATAAAATTAATATAAAAATGGCTTTTTCAAAATAATAGAAGTGCCCTAGAAAATTATCAAAAACTCAAAAATTTACACATTTTTTAAAACGATTTCTTTACATATAATAATTTTAGGCAAAAATATATTAATAAGATTAGATTAATATTTTGTGGCACCATAAACGTTGCATAAAACTGCAGCACTGCGCTTTGGCATTGATTCCAAAAATTTTTGACACCTTTGTGCTGGAATTGTGCTACCAGCTCCCAAAGCTCCTTAATATTTGTGGGACTCTTATTAGCGACTTACTTTTATATGTCGGCCTACAAGTTTTCATTCGGGAGACTGGGCGGGCACTACACCACTCTAAGCTATAGTAAGAAAAACATGCCCTCACCATTATAATTGTGCGACCATGTTTAACAGTTTTTATGCAATGTTTTAGATTAAATTCAGTTTTAGGCGGCCTTTTCACATACTGACAAAAAGCTTTTTCAACAAACAGAATATGTTTACAGTCATCTGACAACATGATGCTGCGCCAATTTTCTGGTAACCACCGAAAGTGTCAGTTTTCAAATTGAATCCGTGCTGCTGAGCTTTTATTTGAATGAAAAAGAATTTTCTCGGGCTATGTACTGTTAAATTATTTCCCTTGAATTCAAGCTCAGCTCAGCCATTATTTTTTTTCAGCTTGAGAAAGGATGTTGCCTCGTGTATCTAGTTATGCGAGTGGCAAGTTTATTTGATATTGCTCGGGGTCGTCCGCGCCCCGCCTATATCATGCCTATTTGTCAAAATTTGCGACCATCGAAACTCGGCTTTCGATTATATGTACTATCTTGTACGTTTTTTCATTTGCAATTCATTTCTGAATTAATTCATGTTGTTCAGGTGTGAATTGCTTTTATTATATATCTGCCTAATTCGTCAACAATATTAATAAAAAATAGAATTGAGGGTACTTTTGTATCACTTAAGTGGCAATAAACGCTATAATAGGAGGAATTTGGCTTGAGAAGGCAAAACCAACACCTATTAGTGAAATTCGGTCATTGTCGAGAACAGAAAGTCAAAGACAAAAATAAAGCGAATTCATGATTTGCACTCATATTCGAATAAATTAGTTGAAAAAAAAACAAAAAAAGGAAAAAAAAATTTAATTACAACAGCGAAGCGAAGTTGATATGCAACAGCACTTCTATTATTTTGATAGCAGCTGTATGTTTCCTGAGTATCTTCAACAAACATCGGTTACACTTTTAGCGCTAGAACAAAGTTTTTAATCAATACTTTTCACAAATCCACATTTAGGCACATACTCGTACATATGTACATACGTACATAGTATGTAGTTACATACATACCATACATCTGCCAATATGTGAAAATCACAGTGAGTCTATGTAGGAGTCTTTGGTTGACGCACTGTGTTACGCCTCACTTGGTGATGTAGCCGAAATTCCGATCAGACGCTAAAAAGTTGAATAGTGAATAAAATATGGCACTTTATTGACTAGGTCAATGAGAAAAGCTTAGTTCGACAACTATTTGTATAAAGCTAAAATAATTTTTATTTTAGTTTAAATTAATTTGAATACTTGCATGCAATTTAATTTGGCCGATTTTCGTGTGTGCTGAAGTTGGGCATTAAAGCAAAAGTACTTCAATAATATTGTCAATATGGTATATTACATGGTTTTTTTTTAAAAAGTTAATCCGCCTTTGAACTTAATTGCTTTAAATATTTTTAATATTAATGCGTGTGTTTGCTCTCATTCAATTTATTTATTGATGGAAAAAAGGAAAAAAGACTTGAATAATTGCCGATAAAATGATTACCGGCGACATATGCGTCATTTCGGTAACGAATTCTGCGTCATTTATGAGTCAATAATTGTATACACTCATATTTACAGCCGCCTACACTTTTATCTGCCACGAACTCTCAATTTCCGACGCAATTTTGCAACAGCAACAGCATCAGCTATAAGAAATTGTAAATTGTAAATAATAAAATAAGTGAGTTAAAAAATTATGCATAATTTCAGAGATTAATTGTAAATTTCATTAATGTTGCAATTAATTAATAAATGTAGGCGAAATATATACCGACATTGAATAAATGTCTTGAACATGCTTTTCACAAAACTTCTCAGTCTATCTCTCTTAAACTTTTTTTTTATCTACTGACGTATGGTCTCGTGTTTTCTCCTAATAGAGCAAATGACTATTTTGTGATCACTTTTTCTCTAATCGTTATTTGTAATCTGGTTAAGGGTTGACGATGCTGATAATTGGGAAAAAATAAAAAAAAAATGTTTATTATGCTCATGGTTTGTTGTCATCAAATAAAACGCAAGCAAAATTGAGCATAAAATTATTTTTGTGGTGTTCTCTCAACTAGTGTTGTAAAATACCTTCTGAGTAATGTTATCTCAGTGCAGTTTTCAAATATCCATCGAAAAAAACTGGACCTCTTTAAATGTCTTTGAGCTAAGCTCGAGACTATTAGAGCGAAAGTAGAAGCAGCTTCCAATGTTATATTTCTATGACTATTATCGGCCTACATCATATGTGCTTTATATTTCAAGCGTCTAACCTATTTCTATGCATCCATTGCGCGCTGACAAGCAAGCAAATAACCATTGTGCAGCCATAATTGAATAATTCAACGATCGAATAATTCGCCACATTTTGCCTATAAAATGTTTTTGCTAAACTTGAAGTGGCTTTTTACGATATTACAGGAGCACAACAATTCATTGTCTTCTTTTTTTTTTTGATGTCACCATTATGATGTAAATTTTGTACATTTAAAATGATGGAAAACTCGAGTTGTTTGTCAACCAGTTGCAGCAAGCTGATATTAAATCAAAGATATATAAACGAAAATTGAAAAGGACGGGGAAATAGAAACATTAAAACTCCAGCACAACAATGCTCTCACAATAAAATTATCACACCTCGCTCAGCTGCTTACCGTCATTTACTGAGCTCTTTGCCACAACCCTGAGATGTAAGATTACTCATTAACTGAAATACAGCACGAGCTTTGCACTTGTATCAGCGCATCTTCGCCGACTCAGCCATCCTTAACGACACCGCCGACGGTCTGCCTCCACACATACTTCAGGGCGCCGCACACTCAAAGAGCCAAGTCACTGTAATGGTCGACAAATAAAATGTAAGCGAGCACAGTCAAGCCAAATAAGCATTACTCATTGTGGAGCACAGAGCGCAAGAGCGCATTTGTGTTGTTTTGCTGTAATTGCTTTTCAAAAAGTAAACATTTTACTCTACTTTACTTCCATTTCCATTTATAGTTTACTGTAGGTAGCGATCGCTTGCCTGACTCGCGTTGTTGAGTTCGAGTTTCGAGATGGCTGCACGTAAAAAGGTAAGATTTGAGTCACTCGTCTGAGCTGATCGGTCAAATGCTCTGCCGGTAGTTTGATCGGCCGCTCTGCATGTATGCGGTGCGACTGATCGATCGGTAGGTTGGTCGGTCATTTAGCGGCATTCGAGAGTACCACCCGACCGGTTGTTTTGCTGGTGGCTTAGCAAGACTTTGCTTGCTAACTCGAAAGGTGCGCTGCCGTACTGGACGCCTTGGCTAGCTATTTGGTTGGTTGCTTGCTTATTTCGGTTGCTGTTTAAGTCTCAGTCGATTTTGAAGCTCGTGCGCGTCGCGATAGTGTTGCATTCGCAAACGGAACGAAATTACCGCTAACAACTGAAGTGATGCACTCAAACTAATTGTATGAGTACTTTAATTGCGGTTTTATTGGCGTTAAGTGCTAAAAAATGTGTAAAAATTTAAACTAAAATGCGCCTTAAATAAACCGATTTGGAGATGGTTGTATGTTGCACGCGAAAATATGTGTAGAAGAAATGTGTGAAGTTAGTCATATTTGCAAAACCGAAAAGTATTACGAAAATTTTGACTCTATTTTTTACAAGTTGTGTTAAGAATACGCGCTGTGTAGAGTTTTAAAATTTATAGATGTTATACCATATAAAATCAAATTCGTTTATCTATAACAAATACAAACGGAATAGTCTCAACTTGACCAATGATTATTTTACTCACTAGAGTAGAGGCCGGAGTAGGGGATGTCGCCGAGTAATTGTTTGTGGGGTAAAGGTTTTTTTTACCTTACACTTGGTTTTTTTTTATTAATAAATGTGCATGCACTAGGCAGAAAAAGTCTGCGTACAAAAATAAATTGTTGGGAAAAAAAAACTTTATATACTTTTTATATAAACCAATTTATTTGATATTTGCAAAGGTAATCTTATTTTTGCCTGTTCTATATAAAATGTCATCATAATAGCGTCCTTTCCGGACTAGAAATATAGCTGCGTTCTTTTTATTTCATTTTAAGATATTCGTTATTAGATTTAAGTTGTCCCAGAAAATCTTAAAATGTAGGCAATTCTTCTTTCTTTATATGTATGTATCTATGTATATATAGTTTTATGAAAATAAAAGTGATTAAACAGCCGGTAGTAACATATAAACAAAACAAAACATACGGACGAATAAAAAATCCATTAGAAAAAGTCTGCGTACAAGGTACATAAGTCAAATAAAGTTACGAATTCTTCTTAAAATTTAATAGGAAGGCGGACATCCTCAACTTTTTAAAACTTCCGCTAATAGTGTTGGCATGGAATATACAAGCTTCGAGGTTTCTGCCGAAGGAATGTGAGCCCATTTCTCATATTAAAACCTGATGATTCGGCTGATGTTTGAAGCTGCTTTGGATCGTTGTAGAGTAACTAAAGCTTAGCTAAGTCTGCTGTATGCTTCGGATCGTTATACTGTAGAAGATAGTAGTCACTTCCAAGACCAAATTCTATCGCTCATATTTGTTTTTAACATATTAAGGTATGCATATTTAACCATGGTGGACCCTACAAAATTCCATTTGGCCCACACAGTTACTAGCGTTATGCACCCCATAACATTTCTTCTTCACCATCGCTTTTCACGGTATGCATCAAGATTTCCTTATTGAGTGCCATAAAATCTTACGTCCCTTGATTCCAAAGACGAAAAACATGCTCTCATCGGAAAAACTAACTTTCTGCCAAAACTCCCGGTGCTTATTTAAGTGCTCTTTCGCGACAACTTTATGCACTTACCTTTTGACTAGCGATATGAATGAGTTCTTGTGTGTGACTTGACAAAAACTCTTTTTTTTTTTAATTTTATTTTTTAAAATTTTTCTTAACATTTTGTTCGATTTTGAATGCAGTAAATCGAAGATTTTGCTTCACATTTTGCAAAGCGTTACGAGTTTCACAAGCCGAGATACAAAAACGCCGGTATGTTTGTAATTTTTTTATTACTCTTTGTATGAAAGAATTTTTTCTTCCAACAATTCGACTGATTTCAGGGTATGGTTTTCCTTCTTCGGAAAGTTTAACCACTATTTCCCTTTAATAAGAGCTTATTTCTGCTCTTTTAGGCAAGAGACATTTTACTACTTGTACACAGACTTTTTCTGCGCTGCCAAATTACAATTTTTTGTAAATTTATCTATAAATCTATGGTGTTAGATTTTTATTGCTTTAAATGCTATGGGATTATGCAATAGACTTGTAATAAAACACTTAATATGATTATGCTCTAAAACTCAGTATATAAAAGTTATTTTTTAACAAAAGAAAATAATATATTAGCGTTTACGCAGAATTTTTCTGACGAGTGTACATATATTCGAGTTCAACTCATTATTAATCGTTTGACTTTATAATTAGAGTTGGTTTTGTGGCTAAGGCTTAGTTTATACCATTTCAATATATAAAAAAATTGAAGCAATCGTCGCAATGAAGTTGAGCTAAAAGGCTCAACTTATATTAAAATGCATTGAAACTGGATGAGCAGCAAGAGAACATATTATAATTCTGAAATCTTTTGCTATTTGGCCCATACAGATAAAGTTTTTATTTGAGCAAATCACATAAATCTATCGTTGAAGCATTGTTATAAAAAATTCAGGCGGATCTTAATGTGCTGTTTTCAAAGGCTGATACTAATATTTTAAATAATTATTTTTCGAATCGAATTTTTTTAAACTTGAAAATATTCCGATACTATTTAACATTATTTCCTTCTTCCTTATATTTGCTCCATATGGTATGTTATAGTCGCCACATATATACATATGTTTGTATATTCCATTATTTATTAAACTTATTTTCAAGTTGCCGTTACAGTCTTACCACGCTTGTATTAGTCATACTCATACTTGTGGCGTGTTCTTTTTGCGTTAATGTATAGTTTTCTACAAACAACAACGAAGAAACGAGTTTTCACCAGCTGTTGCCTGGTGCCTAACCACTTTTCCAGTTATACACCTCCCCTTTGGGCGCACTCTTCACCGTTTCCGCGCTTCAAGCTTTGTACAACTATTTTTGCAACTCACCTCTCAACTTTTCTTGTTGCAACTTTCTTGTGGCCACTGCCACAGTTGTACGTCACGTTGCGCTTGCAATTACAGCTAACTCTTGACAAATTTGTTGCTTTTCTAAAGAAAAAACTGAAAACAAAAATTGTTAATATTAATTACAAAAACAAAGAAATGCGAATGAAATCCTTTGCAGCCATTGGCGTAAGCGCGCTGTGTTTCAATGCATCACTCGTTGCACCCCGCCATTTTTAGCGGCAAGTGAAAGTCTAACAATCATTGTGGACTTTGGCATGCCTTCAACGTCGATATTACTGCGTTGTGCGTTTTCTAGTATTCAATAATTTTTTTTTTTTTTTTAATTTTTTTTGTGATTTTTTCACTTTGCCAAAGCAACAATCGGTAGAGGGGAGTTAAAGAAATTTTGCGTTTTGCCTCAGCGGTCATAGGCTTTCAGCTACGTTCCCGCACTGCTTTTTGTATTTCAATTAAATATTTACATACATTCACACATGTGTGTATCTAGTGATTATAAATGTAGGCTTTTGTTGGTGGCGCCACCACCAACAGTTTAATATACAATTTGCAGCGCCAACTATGCGCAAAGCGTTTTAAATATGTTTTTATTACTCTAAACACTTTTTGTTTGAATGTTTGCTGCTAATGATCGTATACAGTGTGCTTTTCGTTGTGACTCTGCCATTTGCCGCAATTGCCGTTTGGTTAGTTGGTTGCGTTTGTTTTCGATGTGCGTGTCATCTTTAATTTGTGCCATTGCTTTCGATTTTTTCTGTCGAACTTATCTGTCATACATATAGCTTGCAATTATCTTATCACATATCTAATAACGCGGAAAAACTATCAATACATATAACAACAGAGATTGGCTCGTTAAATGAAATGAATAGCATATTTTTGTGCATATCATAAACATTTAGCACACTTTCCGCCGCCTTTGTCATGTAAGTCAAGTATACTTACACTTGGAAAGTTTTTATGACGAAAAAAATTTTAGGGAGTAGTTCCGATTTTTCTTCAAAAAAAAAAAAAAAAGAAGATGTACCAAAAGGTCGACGATGGACTGGAAGATTTAAAAGTAAGGATATACCTGGCGGTATAATTAATCTGATTGTCTTTGAACGGTTATGTGGAATGCTAGCTATAATCTTCTAAAAAATACTTGGGAAGGTAATTTTCTCCTTTGTGCTTCGGTCCTTAATCTTTACTTAACTCATTCTCACTGCTCTTTACAATGGGCCGGTATCGAAAAGTAGATTTCGTAAAATAGTTTCCTCAGTGCAACTTCCACTAAAATTTAATGCATTGCTACCGGCTTTAAAGCCATAGAACCGATGCATTGTAGCTATTATGTATTAAGCACTAAAACAATTGCAAACGATTGGCGTGACAACGCTGACGGGGCCGGTATATATTCACCGTGTTAGACACTTCTATAAAGCATGTATTTCGCATAAATGAGCTATAAAGTTATTTACATTTATTGACCTATAAAGTTATTTTTTTTGTCAGAAAGTAAAGGAGCTCATGTGAAAGCTTTTTACGAATAATGCGAAGATAACAGTTTTCGTCGGGATATAAATCCGAGTCCTGTTGTTTTCACTCGACTGTAGCGGTAACGAATACGATAACCTCCGAATCATACGCTTGTTTTGCATATTGCAAGATTTCATTTAAAACATTTTTAAATCTTCTGTATATATGTATATAAAATATTTTTTTAAAAAGTTAATTTTTTAACATATGTATATACGTAAATTTAATTTTGGCGTATCTGCAAAAATACTTTCACTGTTCCAGCGGACTGGTCAGCTGACGGCCAGGCGTTCGTCAAAACAAAAGACTGTTCCAGCCGGCAAAACAAGAAAACAAATCGAAATGAAATAAGAGAAAATCAGTAACGAACGAATGCGCCTGCGCAAACGTCACACATGCATACTACCTTTTGCTTAATGAAATATAGTGTAGGCTGCACGTATCCTCTAGCTGCAACTAACCAGTCGTTCTTTTTTTTGCTTTTTGCTTTTCCGCTACTCGAACTTCACGCTGTCTATTTGTTGTTGTATTTTTTACGTTTTCACATCACTGTTGTTATTTTTTCACGATCTCAACATGTCTGTCCATTTCACACCCCAACGCTCTTTGTAGACATCTGTTTTTTTCGCATGCTAAATTTGTGCTAACTCGTGCTATTTAATAATCTCCACCTTCTGGTCACTTTTATGCCTTTCTGGTTATTCACTTTTGATTAATTATCTCTGCTTGTTTATTTATTTTTTTAAATTTTTTTTTCGTTTCGTATTCGACTTTTTCCCTCTGTTTTTCTCTTTTGGTTTGTTTCTTTCCTTGTTATTTAATAGGTTTAAAGTCCGTCTACCTTGTTTGTTCATTCGTTGTGTGTCGAAATAAATTTTAAATAATTGTTTCTTGTCATGCATTTGTTAAAGTTGTTAAAAATATAATATTTTCTCACTTCTGCTGAAAAATAATTGTAAAAAATTAACAACGCACCGGAACTGAATGCTGAAGCTGACAATTTCTTGTGCTGCTTATGCAATATTTCCACGTTGCACAAAGTGGGCGTTCCATATTATGTCGCATATACACAGACAATCGAAGATTACGTTTTTTTCCAACATTAATATCCTTATTCGGATAAGTATCCCTTAAATAAGTACAAATGTATATACCATACATATACTCAAGATCAATACAGATTAGTACAACCTCTTTTATGTTTGTGCGAAGTTTGATCTCCATATGTAAATTAGTGTGTTTTTGGAAGCTGTTTGCTCCCGATGTAGGATCTATCTAGGAAAAAAACTTCTATTGGTTCTCGTTTTTTGTTCGTTTTGCGCGCGCAGTTTATATGGGCCAGTTTGGATTAAATTTGAACGGATCGTATTAAGGTTATGTTGAACACTACTAAAAGTGTGAAAACTCAATAAATAAAGGTATCAACTAGACTAAATTTTACATCCGAGATGACACAAAAAAGCTCATAATCTCGGTATCAAAATTGAACATATTTAGGTGAAAACCTCAGGACATACTCTACAAATTTCAACCAAATTTGGCACATAATATTATCCTGACAATCCTTTTTTACAGTGCTAAAATGGAACCACTACCACGCCTTTCTTCCCATATAACACAATTTTTAATTCCATCTGATTCTCTCACTTTCCAGTATACAAATGAAGCACCAATGAATGTTTTGGGATAAAAAAAAAATATGTTTATTTTATTCGACAGATGTTTAATGCAACTGATATTTGACTATTTTCGCCTAAACATCACTTAAAAAAAGATGTATAGTTGTTCATAATTACATAAAGGTAATTAATCATAGCTTAGTAGCTTTTAATATGCATTGGTTTGGAGTATAAATTTTCACTTTACCGGTCTATTATAACTGTTCATAGTTTTTTATCTGCGTTGTTCACTTATTCTTTTAATTGTATATACGAACATATACATATGTATCTATACATTTACATCTATATACATTTAGTAAACACTCATATATTTGGCCATGTTCAATTTGCACATGCAAACTTTTACACTTTTCTCTCATCTACGCATACCTTAGTGCTTTGTGTTTGAATTTATACATATGTACAAGTATGTTAGTTTTGATTTTCCTTTAGGCACGCACTCTTGCATAAATATTTACAGTTGGCAAACTTGTGTTTCTGATTAGTGTCAACATTACACCTACCGTTATATCCGTCCATGAATTTCTTGGAAAACAAATAGTTTTGGAATGCATATTTTCATTTCTTGTAATCAACACTTTTAAATGGGTAAACTCACTTACCTTATCTTCTCACAGAGTATATTAACACTTAATCTTGCAAAAATAGTTTTCTCACTGCGGCTTTTCAATGCAGAAAGTTTTGAAACTTTATTATAAACAACAATAACAACGGCAGTGTGTATGATATAAAGCCATAAAATCAGATCAGTTTTAAAGTTCCACGACATTTTTCCTTCCAAACATGCTTTTTTAAAAAGAGGTTAAATGTGGTAAACATTTTCAAAACAGCTAGGGCTGTAAGAACACAAAAACACCTAGCTAGTTCACTTTATTAAGTGCTAAATTAGAAAGCACATGTTTTTTAATAATTCATGACCAAAGTTCCCTGTGTAATCAAATATTTTTAATTAATGCTAATCTTAATTAATTTATAACATTCGTTTTGCAGAAGAATTTCCCACAAACTGACTTAGTTTGCTTGTGACGTTTCCATTGAATTTGAAGACAAGCCCGATTCCCATTGACTTCCGTGCCAAAAAATGCACGCATCGTATAAAATACAAATTCATATACATATGTACTTGTGTGTATGCTTAGAGTATATCTACATATGGTTATATAAACTTATATAAAGCACTCTTTAACATACTACGCTAGTGACAATGTTCTCATTTTTAATTATACTCTTTATACAATTTACAACGTCGATAGAATCGTGTTTTCCCAACCTAGAAAAACGGAAAATATCCAAATCCAACACGTACTGCACCTGAATTTTCAATTGTAATACAATTATATATATACATGTACATATCATATGTGTGGTTACAAACATTTTATATACACATACATATATACATATATACAACATGTGTATTTTACCATATTAGTTGTTCCAAAACGCTCCGGCATGAAAGTCAACCCAGACTTGGGTGGGTAACGTCCTAACACTAGTAATACAATACTATTTTGAAGCGTAATTTGAATGAATAATATTATAGTATGTACAATGTGTATATATTTATGTATACGTGTGTGTATGCTTTATAACAATTGCGCATGATCACATGAATACCAAAAAGACGAAAGCTTTGGATGGGTGGCTCGTTGGATGACTTGAATAGGCGAAAACTCGCATAGTAATTGACAGGCAGACTTACTTCACTTGTATGTACGAGTATGCGTTTGTAGTTAATTTTTTTATATATACCTGTTTGAACGAATTGCTTGTATTCCAACGTTCGACGAAATCTCTGTAATTAAAAGAGAATTTCAAATTTCGCTCACACATTTTATTTACATACAGTAACAGAAAATAGTTGAGAAGTGAAAAGAAATTGCTTCGAGATTCATTTTTAGCGATATTAGATAAGGATTAAATTCATAGATAATAAAAAAGTATTTCTTTCCATGTAAGACATAAGAGTCTGTTGTTAAAAAATAATAATTCCTCGAGAATATTTCCACCAAAATATTATTTTAGCGTGTAGAAAATTTTTATTTTGAAACGCTTATATTTTTCTGAGTATAAAATTAAATTTTAAACGCTCATATTTTCGAAAATATATATTTTTTCATTCGTCAGCGATTGTACTTCACTGTTCATTTTTCGTTTGAATAAAATGATGATGCTATATACAGACATATGTATGTATGTATGCGCTTACTACGCTCCACTTTGCTGTAAATGTTGTTTGCTTTGCTTGATTTCCTTTACTTTTACTATATTTCATGAGATTTTGAATTGGGGTTTTATGTTATAGTAAACTGTGCAATCTTCATGGGTATTTGTATAAATACATATGGATGTGTGTATGTTTGTATGTGTACAGAGAGCAAAAATAAATTAGTTCATGCCTTTATTCAGTGCCAGCGCCTTTATTGACAAAAAGTCGTATATATACTATTACTATTTACTATATACACACATACATAAATACCTGCATATGCACTTGCTCTAGCGTATGTACGCCAGGGCGTATGTGGTACAATTCGTTTTCATAGTAAACCTTTTTATTCGACGATTTGGTTCATTTGTCGTACCATTGTAAAATTCGTAGATTTCTCTATGCTTGCCATCATGTTTCTGTATGATTCTATTTGAGTTACAAGTATATAGAAATTGAATTTGACGTTTCAGTTCTTATTTTATTTTCATTTTTGCAAAATCACTGCAAATAATGAAAATAGAAGTGGAAGTGGCGTAGGAATAGAATTGTCACTAATTGGCGCACTATAAATGTAGCTGTGCTCTGTTGTAAGAAAATTTTTGCTGACCATGTGTGGGAGTTCTGAGTGTGTGTATGTAGGAGTATGTATTTCGTTAATACCTCAATTAAATGCATTGTAATGGCTTTTATTTTACGGTCGCTTTATGCTTTGGCTTGAATGGCTATTTGCGGTTAAAAATCTCTTTATTTACGTTAATTGAAGCCTTTTCTGCTCGTTTTTTGAAATTGTTACGAGGACAGTTCGATACATTAATGATTTTTTTCTCGGCGAGAAAGTATTTTTCTTATAGTAAAAAGTATGCTTTGGTACATATTAGCTTCACATTCTTTGATAACTCACAAACCTATATGTAGTTATAGTCGAGTATAAGTAAGCGTTGCAGTTGTTTAAATACTAATTTTATACTTAAAATACGGTTTGTTTAGCTGAGTTAAAATTACAACAGATGGTTGTTGTTATACTAGCGGTACTCCGATCAGGTTTAAGGGTAAATTATAGATGTCAACTGACAGTAGGTTCATGTAATACCCAATTACTTTTGTTAAACACTGCTTCCGACATGTATATATCAATAAATGTTGTGTATATAACGGATGTAATTCTAAACGTTTCTACGAGAGGGCGATTCCTATAAAAACACCCCGAATATTTTTTTTAATAATTTTCCCCTTGATCGAGAGAATGCATATTTCTGGTTCTAAGTATCTGAAATATAATATTTTATCCTTCCCGGAGCTATTTTTGGAGTAACTGTACATCAAGAGAATTGAAAGTTTACTAAAAAATAGACTTAAAAAACCGTCTAGGTGTTTTATTTTTAGTTCGTATTCTTAGCACAATTTACACAGAATGTCGCAGTAACAAATCGAAGGCATATGTCAAAAAAAAAACATATAAATTTATAAATGAAATTGCAAATTGAAGTATGTGCTTTGAAGTTGAAAATATTAATATAAAAGAAGATAAAAAAACAGAAGTAATAATAATAATAATAAACAATAATGCCAGAGCATAACATTTCGTATTTAACGGTGCATTTTTTTTGACAATTTTCCGCTGTCAGAATTGTAGCAGTCCATTCGGTTTACGGTTTCCGCCTACAATCGGCTGTTGACCTTAATTTAGTGAATTGCTGCTAATATTTTGTTTTGCAATTGTTGTAGAGTTTGCCTCTTAAGACTTATATTGTGCGGCTAATCAAAAACGAAAATGTGACAGATATAAAGAGTTTAATTGACAGCAATAATATTATTGACATACACATATGAAGTGAAGCGCAAAAATGGGGTTTCATTAGGGTGCGACTTAAAAATTTTAAAATTAGAAATAATTTAAAAATTTTGCAAACTTCGCTTATAAAAATCGTTTTGAAAAAATGTTGAAATGTATTTAATTTGTTTACTATAAAATATATAAAAGATCTGCACTTCAGATAATTTGCATTTTTTCGCTAACTTTCTTAATTATGCGGTTTAAAACATGGTGACAACAATAAAAATCACTTGTGACGGTGTATTCATACAATCCAATTCGTATCTTACGCCTACAGCGTCTGACAACCCTGTTGCGCATCATCGTACGCATACAAATAATATTGCGCATCATTTGCCCACGTCTCAAACATCGCCATCAACAACAACGACCGCAACGTCATTCGCCATATGTAGCGACGATCCAAGCAACTCGGACACTAGTTCCAACGAGTGTGAACACACATTGCGGCAGAGTTTCAGACACACAAGCTCACCAAAAGTCGCACTCATATCGGCCACAATTAGCAGCTGTAACAATATAAACAACAACACTACATTTAACTCCTATTCCTCCAACACATCCTCATCCTCTTCGCATTCATCATGCAACTCGAACGCAACGCAGCGCCAACGACGTCAGCGGCGCAGTAATTCCGCCAGTCCACGCGATTCATTCAAATTCATAACGCCTACAGCTGTTACGTCGATACCGCACAGCAAAGCGGTAGATTGCCGTCGTCGCTATTATTATAGCGGCACTGGCAACAGCAACATTTATTGGTGTAAGCAGGCTCTCATCGGCAGCAATCGTGGTAAAGGCAGCGCTGGCAGTTGTGAGCATACTAATAGCGCACAGAAGCGGCGCGCACACACCGCTGAACATGCGACGTTAACACGGAGCGCCAGTAATATTACGCCGCATAAGGAGTTTCGAAACGCGTCCCCGTCGACTACAGCAGCGACGACGGCAGGTGTGGCCAAAGTGGTGGCGGTACGACGAGAAAGCAATGACCAGCAGTCGGACGGCGACAAAAGTGGCAACCAAAAGAGTAATATAAACAGCAACGGTGACACAGCACTTGCGTTTGCCGCCTGCGAAAAGGCACACACAAATTTTTATTACAGCGCCAACAAACCACCAATAAATAATAACTATAATGAAGACACTGATGTTAACGGTAACGGTGGTGGTGACACTCCAGTGAAAGCCGTAGAAAGACAAAGTGACAACAAAAAAAAATTCAATCAAAAAAATAAAAGCGCTAACTGTAGCGTGTTTACTACCAAAGTGAGTTCATCTCCAAGTTCTATGTCAGACTGCAATACGTCGCTGAATTCCAATGCCAACTCTAAGCCGAGCGCGCTTGTGAAATGTGTGTCAACAAAACGTGTATCGCCCAACGGTAGCGTATCTTCTGCCGATACAACACGCCTCTTTAATTTCCTGCGTGCAGCGCGTAAATTTTATCGCAGTGCCGCGAATAGTGATCTAGTAGATGGTTGTCAAATCACCGCCGATATAGTGGATGGTGGATGTGCGCAACAGCAGCAGTCAGAGCCGTTTAGGCGTCGTTCTTCATTGGCGGCCATCAACGATCGTCTGGAGATTGCAGAATATAATAAGACGTCAGCTGATGCTTTTAGCCAAATAACGGTGTCTTTAAACGATGATTGGTTTGGTTAGTATATTTAATTATTTCAATATGTTATTTTTGTGTTGGCCTTTAAAGGTTATTTCTCGAACTGACAGACGTTTTGTCAGTAACATATTGACCAACGCCAACTGCCGAGCATTTATAAAGACCACGATCAATGATGACAGTGGTTGGTGTTCCAGGTGTTTGTTAAAGTAGGTTATCTCGCTTGTTTTTCGTTCTTAAATTTTTGTTAGACTTTATGCCAAAGTTAGTTTCGATCTGACTTTAAAATTTTTTAAAAAGACACTTTCAATACTTCAGTGATAATATTGTAACTAAGAATTAATCTCTAGATTTTAATGTCCTAAAACTTTGGCCATTAAAAATAACTTTTTATAAATACTTAATAACGAATGAGCTTGACTCCTTTCTTTAGAATTTTTGTCAAAAATTAATCTCTGAATCAAGAGAGTCGATTTCATCGAATTACATTTCAGCTTTCCACTCGTAAGCTCGTTTTTGTATCGACAAAATATGACAACAAATGTGCCGTAAACAATATTCAATTTCAAGCATAGCACTCAAGCCTATATAATACTTTTCTCTTCGGAAATTCTTAATACCGGTTGTTTGGGAAAATTCTAGATTACCCGACACGCTGACATATAGAGGTGAAATATTTCGTAATAGAACTTGTGGTATATAACTGTTTTTAATTAGTTTAATTTAAACTGTTTTTAATTAGTTACATTTTAACTTATTTAAACCAAACCATATTACATATGTATGTATGTCTTGAAAATGCAACGCAACTCCATTTCATACGTAATATGTACGGTGTTATGAAATGTCACCACACACGTTACTCTTTCTATCATACTTACCATCAGTGATCTGACTATTAATGTTAACTTTGCCGCCAAGCAAATGGTTTATACAACTGCTGCTAATTATTGTGGCATAACGCACGCAAATACATTTGTACAATACCATACTATAATTATTTATAAGCAAATAGCAATTACTTTTGCCGCTTATGAGTTCATTAAGGAAGACTCACCGCTATGAAAATATTATTAAATTATAAAATATATTTAAAAAAATAATGTTTTCTCTTAAAATCTCTTTTCTTCTCATTTTCAAATCAAAATACATTTCGAAGTAAAAGATTTTGCTTAATTTTGGATATTATTTAGTTGAAATAAAATTTCTTCGCTTAAAAAATTTTGTATCTAAGACGAAATTATTTTTATTGAGTATCTGCATAATATCCAAGTAGAGCTATTATTAGAACCACAAATAACGCATACATAACCTAAAAAATTTAAAGTTAAAAAATACAAAAAAGCATCACCGTGCGCTTGATTTGAAAAATGTTTTAATCCACTACTTGCCTGACTGTAGAGCTACTTCTTATATTAGCTTTAAATCAAAATGTAATGTTCTGAAAGCTCCATCTATTTCTTTAAGGTCTGCTTCTAATAATACTATAGAACATAACTGGTAGACCAGTTGTCTGCCGAAGTTTCGATTCGTTATTTGATCTGTTATCATAGTTTATATCAAGATTAATTATGTCAATAACTACTTTGAAAAAATGCCTGCATATTGCATCATTTGCAACCCACACTGTGTCAGCAGCCTTATACTCTCACCGCTCCATAGATGCAGCCAGTGGACTTCACCAACCAGCAGCTATTATTATACATCCGAAAGCATCACCGCTACTCGCAAAACAACATCAACAAACGTAATATTTATGTATACAACTAGGTGATTTTTCCATCTACATATTTATGCTTTTATTACTGATATATGTGACAGTTTTTGCGTCCATTTGCATCGTTTGACACACTCTTGCAATGAACAAAAGAGGAAAAACAACAAAGCGGCACACAAGTGGCAACAGTTGACTCGCATGCCACAATAATTGTCATATAAAATTTTACGCAATGCAAAACTTACTTTTTTTCTACACGCATACGTCACCACAAGTGATACTATGTCTCTGTAACATTTACTCGCATGCAGTTCTATGCACATCTACATATGTATGTGTGTGCGCATTGTTTCGTTATTATTTGCAGTTCATTGGCTTTGTTGGTTTGATGGCTTCATCATCGATATCAGCGACTTAGTTGTTGTTGCTTTATTTACTGCAGCACTGTTGCCATTCGGCAGTTACCAGAAATATATATATATAGCATTTACAATACCGATACATACATGCTACAGTTTATATTTCTAGAGTTACTGTTACTGTTGCAAGAGAAGCCAATCACCTCCCTCCTACTTTATAATGACTTAGTTGTTTACCCAGTTATGACTAGTGACTTCTTCAATTACCACCGCCATATCGCATATCATTGCTCGAGATTTAGTAGTATGTTTATATACATACATACAAGTATATGTACATATGCATATATTAAGCGTTCTGATTCTTACTTTGATCTGTCGCTGATTTAACTTGACTTAGTTGTGGAACAGTGCGAATCGTCAATTGTTATGTGCCACCTCCTGACTACATTCTAATTCTGTTGTAATTATTATGCATAAATATATAGTATACGAGTACCATATGCCCAAAAAACCCAGAATAAACCACGAAAAATACCTTCAAATTTAAACATTTATTTAAATACTTAATCTAAAGGCTATGGATCACTAACGAATTTTTTTTTGAGTTTGTAGTTTTGTAAACACTCCTCAGAACTTTTAAATCAAAACCCATCATTTTTATTTTTTACAATTCGTCGAAATGTTCGTGTGCTTCAAATTGCGGTTTTAGAATTTTCCAAAAATATTCCACATAGGTAACCGTTTCATTTGACCTTTTTAGTCACCTCGAAAACGTTTTGTAAGTACTGATGTACTTGAAAAGCTCGAATTGTTTTGATGAAAATTTGTCTTCGTAGATCGATGAAAAGCAAACATATTCCTTCACCAAATTGTAAACCACGATCTACTTGACACTCGCCATTAGCTAAAGATGCCACAATATCACGGCACATTGTTATTGCTATTAAATGTGAATTATAATGTTAGTTAGTAAAATTTTCAAACGTTACTAATTAAATTTTCTTTTTATTTTCTTTTCTTTACAGGTAAGCAATTCAGTGAAATGTAAAATCTAAGAAATGTATGTGTAATTAACCAAATTATTGGAATAACTAGAAAGGTTTCTGGAGCTAAAATGAGGACAGTCGAAAAATATATAAATTATTATTTACATTATAAATTTGACTTTTATATACATTGACATTATAGTCAATAGTCAGTTTAATATGGTATAGTTAAAGAATTTTCCATGTTATTTTATGCTTGCCTAAAATAAAATATTTGGCCCTGTTCTATACCGTATGTATGAGATAGAGTCGAAATATCGTTGAAATTATATGCATCTACCCAATGAACCATGATAGACTTATAGGACCTTACAGACTTTATTTTTTCCCATCGAATTTTGGAAAAGACTGCAATACGTGATTCCTATTTCTGATAATTGTAAGCGATTTTTGGAAAGCTATTACGATCACTGCTTGTTGTGCTTTCTATTGCAAGTGCATATGTATGTAGGTATGTTAGTACTTATTTGGCATATAAACTTATTAGGAAGTTGCCACTTTTTCTCATTATTGCTTGCTTACAATTAGCGCAAATTATTCACCCTTTACACGTTTTCGAGTCTCACGGAACTTACACATTACAACGCTGTCGCGTTCAGTACTAAATTTAATATTATAACTCATATATGTACATATGTATCTGTAACAAAAAAAATTAATTATGTGGAAACCCTTACTCATACAGCAGCAGACAGCTATAATGAGTTGTGTAAAATTCGTAAAAATAAAAGCAAAATTAATTCATTCATTTCATGTCAAATTTATGCACCGCAAGCGGAATCTGCATTAAATCGAAATAAGGAAGAAAGAGCAAAAATAGCATATAATACAATTAATATGTACTTTTGTATTACGTTCACTTATTTGCAACGCAAAAGCAAAAGCAACAACAACAAACATGCATAAGTTTAACGGCTTTCGTTAGCAAAACATTCTACCGCCAAGCCGAGCACCGTTGCACACCGTTGCATATCTACCGGAAGAAGAGTAGTGAGCGAAAACATTTTTTGCAACACTGAACATACGAGAACGTGAGAACCTTTGACAGCAAATGTAACAACACGAAACACAAGCAACACAACAATAGCGCTTTTACATATATACAGTGGTTGTCATATATTTGCGGATATTCGAACACTATACCATAGAATATATCTGCTATACATACTGATCGATCAAAATCGAAATATGTAAATATATTTTTATACCCTTTTATGCTATAAGAAATGCAAAGTGTAAAGGTTTTTTCTTCTTTTTTATTAAATTATTACTTATAAAGCATGCTGCCGGGTCAAATTTTGAAAAAAAAAGTTTTATTATAAATCGAATGCAAGTTTCAATTAATGATGTAAAGATTTTAAAAAAATGTATGTAAAATAATTATTACATCTCGGAAGTATTTACTGGTGTTCCTAAATATATTACCACAACATTTCTGTATACATTTATCAGTATGTGTGCAACAATGGCAACATTTGCTTTCGCTGTGATGTTGTTGTTGCCCTTTAAATTAAAATATTGTAGTGCATACATACAAATACTCATACATGCATAGCTGTACTTACCAGTGGCATGGAAATACAGGTATTTACACAATATGTGAGGAAAAGCTGATGCCGCCAAGAAGAAAGATGATGTGAAAAGTTGCAGCCCAGCAACGTGGCAACTCATAAAGTTCAAACAATATTTGCACTTTCTTCTTGCTCTAGATGAGATTGGTTTTTCATTTCCAAATACGCCTAGCTTCTCCACAGCGACTGCCTTATGACCACGAACGTCAGCTTGCAAACTTTTCAAGAAAGTTGTCTGAGGAAAATCAGTTTCACTTTGAGTGCAACAAAAAGTTGGAATAAAAAAGACAATACAATACTATGTAAAATGAATGAATTTGGTTGTGTGTTGGAATGATTGAGA